AGTTATTAGAATTGTTAAACCAACAAAATGTTGGCAATATTGCGACACAGTTATTAGAATTGTTAAACCAACAAAATGTTGGCAATATTGCGACACAGTTGGTTCTTCTACTTGGTGTTGTTGTGGATATGAAGATGATGTTACAACATGCACCCGTGCAAAGGATACATGTATGCCAAAATGTATTGAAAAGAAAAAATGTTGTAGCGGTAAAAATTAATTTTTACTATCGGATAAATTTGTAATTGAATAAATAAATGGTGATATTCAATAAAACCCCATTAAAACTATGGGTATCCTTAGTTATTATTTTAATTACTATCAACTACTATCAACATTCGTTTTGTACTATTTTTTAATTGTTATAATTATTATTATTATTATTATTATTATTATTATTATTATTATTATTATTATTGTAGTTGTTGTTGTTTTTATTCTTATTATTTAGGCAATATTATATACAACCATTAACAATAATTCAATAATAAAATTTTTGATGTTTAATATTAATTATTGTTGGAGTAAATACCATATTTCCGAACTGCACCAATGACTCACAACTCATTATTTATATTATATAAAAGCTTTTTGAGGATATTTAAATGACGATGAACTAGTTTAAACAATATGACAATTATTTTGAACATCAAGTTTGTATAAAATTATAAATTATAAAAAAATGGGGAAAATTTACTGAAGGTCTCAAGGAAAGTATGTGAATTTCCAATCTCTTGTTTGTAGAGATGAGCATATGGACCGGGAACTGGCCAGAACCGTAACCCGATGGAACCGGTCGGGCCGGGACCGAGACAATATTCTTGTGGATTTTTGGAACCGGGAACCGGAACCTGTAAAACCGGCAAAAACCGAAACCGTATTTTGTTATTTCCCGAGGACCGGTTCCAACATTGAAGACACGGCAAGAACCGGTAGGAACCGGCGGTCCGGTTCGGTTCCTATTTTCCACCAAATTCGGTTCCCGGACCGATTCCGGTTCGGGTCGGTTCTTTTGCTCATCCCTACTTGCTTGGTTGTTAAAAGTTTGAAGAAAAAAAAGTAAGTATAAAAGGGGAAGCAAGTGAGTAATTTTTGTATGTTCCTTTCCAATATCCATATTACCTTGTGTACAAAGAAGCATGAAGAATAATCTTTTATAAAATAAAACAATAGCTAGATATCTTTTTCTTAATTAACTGGGGTTTGTAGTTTTTATCATAAGACTGTATCTATATTATATTTTGTGTGGTTGTTAACAAACTTAATGATCGTGCTAAAAACAACTTAAAATATTGGGCTTACAGCTAAGGTATTCTAAAGTTAAAAGGTACATCTTAATGTTTCGTGATATCGAATGAGAGCTTAAAAATTCCACGATTAAGAGATTCGTAGAAAACCAAACCATTCCACTACTCTCTTACCCATTAAAAGATTCGTTGAATAATTTTTGGAATAAACATTTTTTTTCATATNNNNATATATATATATATATATATATATATATATATATATATGTTCGGTGTTGGTTTTTTGTTGTATATGATTTTTTATGTGCATATGTGAATTTGTATGAATATATATATATATATACACACACACACACACACTAGCCGTTTACCCGCGCCAAACGACGAATGCGAATAGTTTCTTTTGGTAATTATTTCAATTCGAAAACATGTATGATTGGACATCCAATTTTGATAGAAAGGCAACGAAAAGATAAACCCCTAACATGAAATATAATTTGCTTTGGAAGATGGTAACTTATAACTTGGAAACTAATCCATGTTCTTCAAGTCAAGATAAAAAAGCATAAAAAATACCCTGTCTTTAGAGGACTGGCATTAAATGAATATATATATATATATATATATATATATATATATATATATATATATATATATATATATATAACCTAAAATAAAGTACAAACACTTAAACTACATGTTGGGAAAGATATCGTGTTGATCCAACTTCAAACGAATGATTTATGACATT